TCTTGTGCGACTTCCAGGAAACCAAGCGGGCGTGGTAGAGACGTCACCATCTTCAACCTGGGGTCTTTATCATGGGTGTGGTGTTTGATTCCTGAGAACAAGGAAGAGAAGAGTGGTGTGGTCTGTGGTGGCCTTCCACGCTGAGAGGAGACGAAGTTAGGACGCGTCCCTCTCACGCCCTGCGGCAGTGAGTGGTGTCTGCTGAGGAAACCAGCTGGGGCCGGTCGCCCTCGAGCGCCTGGCTCCAGCCCCACCCCTCAGTGTAGGACTGCAGACGCTGCCGGGGCCTCTCTCTGGCTGGACCTGGCTGCTCCGGGGCAGAGACAGCGCTGGTTGGCGGCTGGTTGGTGTGGGTCCCTGGAGTGCGTTACCTCTCGGAGGGGCACGGTTCCGCAGTGCTGGTAGGACCCCCGGCGTCCGTGCTGCCCGTGGAGTGCAGCACAGGGCCAAGCCCTGTAAGGGGGCAAGACGTGTAGTCCCAAGCGATCCCTTGTGTCTTGCACACGCATGCATGCATGCACACATGGGTGGTACCTGTGTGCTCTCATCTGTGTCTCTCAACCTTTCTCAGGTCCAGGGCCTCCTTGATGACAGGCCAGAAGCTATGGCCATTCTCCCTAAAAGACAGCACACATGTGCTCAACTTCATATGTTGTGTCTGGGGGTCGTTGCCATCCTTAAATCTGGGGCTGGCCCCTCGTTGCTGTCATGCCCTGAGTTGAAGAACTCCCACTTACTTTGTTGGGGGAAGTGCCGGCACTCTCCAGGGCCGTGACCTTGTTTCCCCCTCGTTGGAGTTGTAGGTACGCCAACTCCAGCTGGAGTTGTAGGTCTGTGGGGGAAGGTCCTCACGAAGTCTGGGGTCCCCCTTCACTTGTCATTACTCAGGTTCATTCTTTCCTCTTCTGCCAGCACTCATCCAGAATTGCCTAATATATATATAAGGTGGGCAGGGCAGGGGAGAGCAATGGGGGGAAATGGGCACAACTGTGATTGAGCAACAATGAGAAAAAAATTTAAAAATTGTCTGGTATACCTAAACTAATGCAATGTTATATATTAATTATATCTCAATTAAACAGGAAAAAAGATTGTTCATTGTTCATTACCAAAAGATTCTTCTGTTTCTAAATTCTTGGCTCCCTGGGCTATACCTGGACTAATTCTATGTCCTCCTTTTGTTGGTAGGAATTGAATAGGCCTGTCTATGGTTAGAATGCCTAATTTATCTATGAATATTTTATCAATTTTGTATTCTCCCCACTATATTCTTTCTTAATTAAAATCAAAGAATGACAGAAGAGCCCCGTGGGTCATAAAATATTTACTGTGCTTACCTCCAAGGTGCCTCACTGCTTCTTCCTTCTTACGCACAGAACTCAGGGAAGAGAAGCTCCCACCGACGCCGTGGCTGTAATATGCCAGCCGGTGGTCAACCGAGACCCCGGTCCTAAGACGTTAACTGAAAAATGTTCTGATTAAATAGAAGCAGAGCTTTCCTCAGGTGCTGTTGTGTTGTCCAGTTGATAAAGTTTATGACTTTATTTTGTATCACTTGGTTTCTGGGACCTACCGGTAAAGTATATTTTTAGAAATATGCTGGTGGATTTAAATCTTTAAACATTAGCTTTCTCATTTGCGTTATACAAAAGTTAAAATAATTAATTTTAATTAAATTTAAAAGTTTAATTATTTCAAAGGAATTTTCATTGAAATATGCTTAAGAGCTTCTTTGCGTTAAGAACAGAATGAGTTCTGCCCTGGCTGGTGTGGCTCAGTGGATTGAGTGCCGGCCTGAGAACCGAAAAGTCGATGGTTTGATTCCTGGTCAGGGCACACGCCTGGGTTGTGGGCCAGGTCCCCAGTGGGGGGGGTGTGAGAAGCAACCACATATTGATGTTTCTCTCCCTCTTTTTCTCCCTCCCTTCCCCTCTCTTTAAAAATAAAAATAAATTAATAAAATCTTTTTTAAAATTAAAAAAAAACAAAACAACTTCTACTCTTTGAATTCTCTACTCCTTGAAATCTGCTCAAAATGGAGATGATCATATATTTTGTTGTTCGTTGCTTAAAGATTTTTTTATTTAGAAAGGCAGGGAGGGGGGAGGAAGAGAGGAAGAGAAACATCAACACGAGAGAGAAACATTGATTGGTTGCCTCTCTTACGTGTACCAGCTGGGAACCAAACCTGCAACCCAGGCGTGTGCCCTGATAGGGCATCAAACAGGCGGCCTTTTGGTTCGTGGGATGGTGCCCAACCTGTCGCAGAACAGCCAGTGCTCATGCAGAACAGTCGGTGGGGTTCTGCTGCTCAGCACCTGCAGGCAAAACTCCGGAGTCAGAAGTGTGGTGGACAAGGGAGGGGTTGTCTATTTAACGGCTGTACAGTTTTGGAATAACGGCAGGCTTCCGCCTCAGAGCCCCGCTCCCTTTAAAACACCCAAAGACAGATAATCCTGCCACCCTCCGCCAGGCCAGAGCAGCTCCGGAATGCACCTGAAATCCTTTGTCCCACTTAAAGCGCCGTCCTCTGGGGCACACAGGTGGCTGTCGGAGGCTCATCCAGGCTGCTTGGCAAGTCCCCGGTCACAGTTCAGCTCTCGGCGTCCCCCACCAGTCTGTGCATCCGGCTGGGTAGGGCCGCACAGCACGGCCAGCGCTGCCGCTGCCTTCTGCGTGGGAGGGGTGCCCGTGTGTCCCAGACCTCGCGGCCCCCAGGGCCCACCGGGCTCAAGAACTCAGCCCACGGTGGCCAGCCGAGTGAGGGGAAGGGAGAAGACCACGTGTTCCCCGGCATGTTCCGTTTGAAAGACTCAGCCCAGAAACCCATGTGTGTGGAGCATCTGGCATTTCGACCAATGCACAGTGATGTCCACCATGTTTGTCAGCCAGCGCCTTTGACCTTCTTCCTGCTGCCATTTTTGCAGAAGGGGGCAAAGAAGTTCCCCAGCCACACAGAGGGGCACACTGTGTGTGACTGGGGCAGGGCATCTGGTTACATACGAGTTCTGCGACCTCTCCAGCCCATGCATGCTCTTTGCAGCCTGTGTCCCCAGCTGCGTTAATTGTTCCCTTTCCCCGGGGACATGGAAGCCCGCCCCAGCTCCAATTTCAGTGCCAGGCTGCCTTCGGCACTGCCCATCTCCCCATCTCCTCCCCGGGAAGGGGCTGTTTTGCCTGCCGCTGCTTCAGTCCCTTGCGGCGGAGTTTCTTCCCACCCCCCTTCTCCTGTCACGGGGCAGCGTCTCATGCTGGATGGGGGTTCCCCCGCTTCTGCTCCCCAGTGATCTGGTCTGACCCATCCTGTTACAAATCCACCGAGCCTCGCCAGTCAGGGCTGGTTGGGTTTGTTTTATCTCATTGCTGGTAGACAGAGGGGAAGGGCGAGAGCAACTTCAGCGCTCCAGAGAAGCTTGGACTGGTTGCCTCCCACGTGCACCCCGACCAGGGGCCGCACACATCCAGACGGTGCCCGGATGGGGGTCGAACCCACAACCTGGCTGTGTGCTGTGACCGGAATCGAACCCGCAACCTTTCGGTTACGGAATGACGCTCCAGCCAGCTGAGCCACACCAGCCTGGGGCTGCTTGTTTTCATTTAGACTTAAGGGCTTTGGGATGGGGACTGGGGAAGAAAACCAGAATACTTAGGGCATTTAAGGGGCATAGAATATTTTCTGCTTCCAAAATTTTACATAAGGTGAGGACTTGGTGGAAATTTTTTCACTGGATGACTAGAGGAAATAAAAGGGTAAACAGATTTAAACAGCCATAGGACAGGTGTTTTTTTTAATGATTTGATCTGCAGGCCACTTTAAGTTTTTTTCTATCTTTTTATTTATAGATTTGAGGTGGGGGGGAGGACACAGAGAGAGCAACATTGATTTGTTCCACTTGCATATGCATTCATGGATCGATTCAGGCATGTGCCCTGACCAGGGATCAAACCTGCAACCTTGGTGTATCGGGACAACGCTCTAACCAACTGAGCTAACCAGCCAGGGCCATGCAGGCCATTTTTAATTTTTGCTGTTTTTTTCTTTCTTTTTTCGGTTTAGTTGTCAACCATTTTCTGGCATATTAGCATCTGGCGACAGTCATGCTACATTTCTGAGGGTCCTTTAAGAAGCTCATTGTTTTGTGTTTATTGTAGAGTCTCCTTCCGCTCTGGGTGATGCTATTTAATCTCCTCAGCTTCCTTTTCCTCCCAACGCCCCCTCTCCCCGGAGCAAACCGAGACTGCAGATTCTGTGGTGACAGGAAGAAACCGCCGTCCAAGAAGGAATGTAGTTAATGTCCGTATTGTCTTACTTGGTAATCACCTTCAGATAAATGGATAGATGGTCCGTTGTGAAATCTTTCTTAAATGATTTATGAACCGGGGACGTGTGGGCCGGAGCATTTGCCAGCGTGACCCAGGACGGGGCCGGGCCAGGACGTCCCGCCGGGGAAAGGCCATGCTGCCCTCCTGCGTCGTGCCGGTGACCCCGGATCCCCACGCCCCGCGCCGGGGCTCGCAGGGCTAACCATTGTGTTCCATTGCCTAAGCACTTGAAAATGTGTAGCAGCCCTTTTCATCGACACACTTGAGAAACCACCTAAAGAAGAGGGGTTTTATTTCACTGCACTCCAGAGAAGAGGTCATCACCATGCACGTGGCTGTGACTCCGCCGTCTGCCCCCAGCCCTTCCCTGCCCTTCTGGACTCGGGCGTCACTGGAGCTCCCCCAGCCGGGATGCGGCTGTGTCCGGAAGGCCGCGGTGGGATGGGATTCCTCGCCCACAGTGTGTGTCCAGCCGCCCTGTAGTCATCAGCAGCCGCCCCCACCTCGACCCAGGGCCCTGCCTCCCCCACCCCCCCCTTCAGGCGTCTGGTCCGTCACAAGTGCTCGGTGAGCGTCTGCGTCTCTGAGCAGGTGGACCGACTGCAAAGGAGGCCTCCTCTGGCTTCTCGGTGCGGGAAGAGGCCTCCTGACGCGGCTGGCGGCTGCCCCTCTCCCAGGAAATGCTGTCGGGCGTGGTGGTCGTCTGCGGGAAGGACTCGGTCCAGCACCAGGGCGTCTCTCTGACCGTGGAAGGAACCGTGAACCTCCAGCTCAGCGCCAAGAGTGTGGGTGTGTTCGAAGCGTTCTACAATTCGGTGAAGGTAAGAAGAGTGCGTGGGGTGCCCGTTATGGGCTCATTGTTCAAATGTGGGTGGTGGTCTCCTACTTGCTGTTCGGCTTTGTTCGCCACGATTTTGCAAGTGGCGTGTAGTGATAGCCACACTTCCAGCACTTCCCGGCCAAACTGAAAAACTAGACAGGCGGGTCCTGAATACACCCTATTATTGGAAGCCCACTTGCTTTAGTTCCCATTAGCAAGGATTGGGGGAGCCAGACGGAGTCTGATTCCAGCTGCGACCAAGGCCAGCGCGGCCCCGAGAAGCAGCACCTGCGGCCTCTGGCGCTCACCGCCTCGCCGCAGGGCTGCTGCTGTCGCTGCGGAGATGGCCGCTGCGGGGCTGGACGTTCCGCTGGGAGCGGTGGCCTTCCTTTGTGTCCCTTAGGGCAGAGGTCTGCGTTCCAGAACAGAAACTCTCTATTTATAGCTTCCTTTCCCTGAAGGACATATTAACTCTTTAAGTTCTGAAGCAGAAGGAGTGAAGGGGAAAGAAGGGTTCATTGACAGTGTTCCCACCGAGGCCTTCCCGCTCTGTCTGCAGCCCTGATCACCCCCCACCCCCACCCCCCCACCCCCCCCCCCCCAGCAGCTCACAGAGATCCCCTGCGCACGCTGCGCATCTTCCCAGCGGCTGGAAACCGCGGCTCAGAGCGCCTCCCCTGGCGAGGGGGCCGCACTGCCTTTGGGCCGGCCGCACGTGTGAGTGCCGCCGTCCTTCCCAGGGGCCCGCGCAGGAGCACGGGCTGGTGGCGTTAGGGTTAGGGTTAGCCCAGGCTGGGCAGGGCGGCCCTGGAGCTTAACCGAGGTGCTTAGAGAGAGAACGGAGAAATGGTGGGTCCGTTCCTCCTGCCCACCAAACACCTGAGTGTGCTGGTGCCAGAGGCTCGCACGGGCTCAGGGTGGTGGCATCGAGGGCCCCGGCTGTGCCTGTCACGTGAACTATGAGACGCGGTGACCGAGCAGATGTCTCTCCGCAGCCCATCCAGATCATCAACAGCACCATCGAAATGGTGAAGCCGGGGAAGTTCCCCGGCGGCAAGACTGAGATTCCGTTTGAATTTCCTCTGCACGGGAAGGGCAACAAAGTCCTGTACGAGACGTACCACGGCGTGTTCGTCAACATCCAGGTCAGTGTCCCTTTCTCCTGCAGGACAGCCCTCCTTGCACTGCGAGTGGCTCGGCAGCCCGGGACTGCACGCCAGCACTCGCTGTCGCGACCTCCCGCGCATGCTCTGTGTCCCGTTCTCCCTCGGCCCCAGGGACACGCTTGACGCCGGACCGTGTTGTGTCAGGAGGCCCGCAGCGCCCACGCTCCCGCTGCTTCAGCGGCCCTGCGTCTCCCGGGCTCTGCGGCCGCGCGGACACGGTGACAGGGGCCCTCACTGCCGGGTAGCGGCGTGCCCTCACTTCTCTCTGGCACCCGCACTGGCTTGCCTGTTTTCATCCGTATAAATCTCTCTTTGTCTGATGCCCAAAGGCTGCCGCTTGAACACAGGCAGCACTCTTTGTCGGACAAACCTCGTAAAGGAGGGGGGAGCGGATTTACGACCTCCGGCCCTCCTCCGTGGCTCAGGACGTGTTCCACAGTTGCTGCCGCTGTCTCGGGCGCAGTTCGGGGGCGTGACTCGGAGGGAGACGGAGAGCCCGCCCTTTACCCGGTGCACGGAAGGGTGCTTCTGTGGTGTCCCGCCGGCCGCGGTGCCCCTCGCCAGAGGAGGTGACACATGCTCTGTTGCCTTACATGTGCGCAAGAAGGCTGGAAGTTAGACATTTTTTATTTACTAATGAAGTTTGAGCTGATAATTTGATCTCTGTAGAGACTGTTCCTCTACTTAACACACAGCACTTAATATTAAAACAAAAATCCTGCAGACACTTGTGAGACTTGAACCAAAGTCGGTGAGTTTTAGGAATTGCCTAAAGAATCTGCCAAGAAGCACACGCTGTACGTAATGTATCCTGTTGCAAAAAATGTCTTTCTGAGAAGAAGAAACGTTTCTCATCCCTTAGTGGAGGTGCACCCGTCTCAGGCAGCGTGTGTACTGAAGGGCAGGGGAGCCCCCCGCAGTGCCAGCAGTGGTGGGAGGAGCGCCCAGATTCAGGGGAGCTGCTCGCGTAGACACCCCGGCAGCTGGAGCTCCCACATGGGTCTTCTGACCGGCATTCTGGGTTGGGGATACTTCCACCATGAACAAAAGTACATGAAAAAATGCCTTTTTAGCAAGACTGAAAGTATCATGAATATTTCATTTTGAAAATTATTTTTATTCTGTTTCCTGAATCAGCATCAACTGGCTTTACCCACACAACTCTTTAATGCTGTTTATTTAACAACATAAGCATATGTTCATTAGAAACTGAGTAGAATAACATCAAATCTTCATGGCCATCACTTCTTGTTACTTTCTCCCAAGTTTATCATTCTTGTTAAAAGATTAATGTGTTTAAAATAAAGTTGGAGATTTTATTCTTTTCCAAATATTGCTAAGAAAGACACACAGATCTACATACGAAACTCTATGCTTGGTTCCCGCATAGCTGTGCAGAAATTGGAAACTAGTTAAGATGAAAGGAGAGACTTTCGGTCAAGATGGAGGCACAGGTAGACACACTGTGTCTCCTTGCACAACCGAAAAGAACAAATTTAAAAACAAAAAAACAACCACAACTGCCAGGAAATCAAACTATGGAAGTCCAACAACCAAGGAATTAGAGAAGAGACACTCCTGCAGCCCGGTGGGAGGGGCGGAGACAGGCGGCCGGGGCAGAGAGGACTCGCAGCGAGGCGGACTCAGCCCACCAGAGAGGACGGCTGGAGGGGCGGGTGAGGTGGCGACTGGCAGAGCAGGCGGTCCCACGTTTGCGTGCAGATAAACCGGGAGGAACAACTTGGGGGTGAGACAGACCACGCAACCCAGGGCCCCAGCTCTGGGAAATAAAGCCTCAAAGCCTCTGACCGAAAATGCCTGTGGGGGTTGAGGTGGTGGGAGACTCCCAGCCTCACAGGAGAGTTTGTTGGAGAGACTCACAGGGTCCTAGAATGTACACAAAACCACCCACCCGGGAATCAGCACCAGGAGGGCCCAGTTTGCTTGTGGGTAGCCCCAGAAGCCACTGAAAGCCGGCGGAGAGCGGAGCAAGCAGCACTGTTCCCTCTTGGACCCCTCCCCCACAGACAGCGTCACAACACAGCAACTTGGGTTGCTCCTCCTCTGACTACATAACAGGTGCTTGGAGACAAAAAATAAAAAATGGCCCAAATGAAAGAACAGATCAAAGCTTTAGGAAAATTACAACTAAGTGACGAAGAGATAGCCAACCTATCAGATGCACAGTTCAAAACACTGCTAATCAGGATGGGAATAGCTTGCAGTGGGAATAGACGGAAATGGTTGAGTATGGTCGCAAAATAGAGGAAAAAATGAAGGTTATGAAAAGTGAAATAAAGGAAAATGTACAGGGAACCAACAGTGACAAGAAGGCAACCAAGACACAAATCATTGGAGTGGACCAGCAGGAAGAAAGAAACATTCAACCAGAACAGAATGAAGAAATAAGAATTCAAAAAAATGAGGAAAGCCTGAGGCCAGAACATCTTTAAATGTTCCAACATCTGAATCATAGTAGTGCCAGAAGGAGAAGAATAACAGCAAGAAATTGAAAACTTATTTGAAAAAATAATGAAGGAGAACTTCCCCAATCTGGCAAAGAAAATAGACTTCCAGGGAGTCCAGGAAGCTCAGAGAGTCCCAAAGAAGTTGGACCCAAGATGGAACACACCAAAGCACATCATAATTACATTAGCCAAGATTAAAGATAAGGAGAGAATCTTAAAAGCAGCAAGAGAAAAGGAGACAGTTACCTACAAAGGAGTTCCCATAAGACTGTCAGCTGATTTCTCAAAGGAAACCTTGCAGGCAAGAAAGGGCTGGGAAAATCATGAAAGGCAATGACCTACATCCAAGATTATTCTCTCCAGCAAAGCTATCATTTAGAATGAAAGGGCAGATAAAGTGCTTCCCAGATAAAGTCAAGTTAAAGGAGTTCATCATCACCACGCCATTATTATATGAAATGTTAAAGGGACTAATCTAAGACAAAGAATATGATCAAAACTATGAACAGTAAAATGACAACAAACTTACAACTATTAACAACCAAACCTAAAAACAAAACAAGAATGAACTAAGCATTCAGCTAGAACAGGAACAGAACCACAGAAATGGAGATCACATGGAGGGTTGTCAGCGGGGGACTGGGAGGGGCAGAGGGGGAAAAGGTACAGGGAATAAGCAGCATAGATGGTAGGTAGAAAATAGATAGGAGGAGGGTAAGAACAGTATGGGAAATGTAGAAGCCAAGGAACTTACATGTACGACCCAGGGACATGACCTAAAGGCGGGGAATGTGAGTGTGAAGGGGTGTGCAGGGCTGAGGGGAATAAAGCGGAGGAAATGGGAGAACTGTAATAGCATAATCGATAAAATATATTTTTAAAAAAAGAGAAAAAAGGGGGAAAAAAAGTCAAAGTGCAAAGGAGAGTTACCTTGTGGTAAGCTCTTTGTAAGGCCAGTAATCTCCTTGCCCCCTTTACTGTGGTCCCCAGCTCTTACCACTGGCAGGTTGACCTTGGGGTGCCGCTACTTCTGAGAATTCTGCACCTCCCAAACGTGTCACTGATTTCCAAAAAATGAAGATTTCTTCTTAACCTCAGGTTTATGAGAGCTTATCACCCTTATACTTATCACCTAGGTTCAACATTTATGAGTATTTTGCCGTCTTTGTTATATCTGTATTTATTTTTTAAAGATTCTATTTATTTTTAGAGAGGGGGAAAGGGGGAGAGAAAGAGAGGGACAGAAACATCAGTGTGTGGTTGCCTCTCACGCGCCCCCCTACTGGGGACCAGGCCCACAACCCAGGCATGTGTCCTGACAGGGAATCGAACTGGTGACCCTTTGGTTCACAGGCTGGCACTCAATCCACTGAGCCACGCCAGCCAGGGCTCTATTTATTTTTTGTGAATCATTTCGAAGTTAGTTGACAGTTTATCTCAAAATACTTATATATCCATCTCCAAGAGTTAGGCTCATTCTAATAGTACAGTTAACATTTTCACACCCATCAGAGTGAACAAAAATTCTCAAATATCTAATTCCCAATCCATAGTCAAATTCATCATTGTTCCTTTGAGAAAATATGCTTCTTGAGATAAACTAGCGTTACGGGTTTTCTAATCTCTTTTTCATTCACCGATTCATTCATTCAGTCTCTGGATCTTTTTCTAGCCTCCTCGTTTCACAGGGGAGTCCATGCCACCCGGAGAGGACAGTGACCGCCGGTCACACAGGCCGTCTCTCCGCCTCAAGCACAGGGCGCCCGCCCTCTGTGCCGCGGCGCACTGCACGCGCTCTGGAGGTCGGCAGGGGTGTCGCTCTGGATAGGTGGTGCCGTTCAACCCTGATAACAACACCTTTCTCAAATTATGCAGGCGCAGAGAAGTTTTACAGTTATAATCTGAATTGTGCTAAGGAACATAGTGGAAACATAGTAAAGATCATAAGACAGAATAAGGATTTAACGTACAGCCAGCATCAAACCCCCAGCTTGCAGGGTCTGGGCTACTTGCTGCTTCTCGGCGGGGGGGCTTGATGATGTTGGCTCTTACCCTGCCTCTCTGTCACGTGGTGCTCGTGCCTCACCTGCATGGCTAGGTGGTGCGCCCAGGGATCTCTGGTGGCCACCCTTGCAAGGCTTGATGCTGCGACACGCCGTAGACCAGTACCCGCGTGTCTGCTGAAACTGTGTGTTCAGAGTGAACCCACAGCGATGCCAGTCGCCCTTTCTCGCAGTTAAAATAGTGCCCTCCCGGGACCTGCCCTCAGTCCTCGGACACGCACCGTCTGTCTTCATGCCTGTTGACGAGTGTTCGCTGGCAGTCGGGAAAGGCTGAATCTTGCACCTCGGTTCTTGGTGCCCTGCCCAGGCCTGACCACCCCGCCCCCTCTGACCTCCAGCTCGTAGCACCTGGATCCGGCCTCAGTAATTGGGAAAGATCATGATCAAGTGGAAAGACCCAGGGCTTTGCCTCAGACAAATCTGAACTCAGAATTCATAAAGAATCGGAGCGTGGGTTTTGGCAACAGGCAAGTGTCCATTCAGATCCCCCTCTGTGACCCCAGCGGCCTCCCCGACCTCTCCTCCGGGGATTGATGAGGACTGGGTGAGACACGCCCACTTAGCGTTGTGCCTGGCACGAAGAATGTGCCAGGTGTGTGTTTGCGGAGGGACCGAATACACAGATTAATGGTGACTGTCCTTACGCTAACAGTTCTTGTACTGGTCTCATTAGAAGTGAGGCAGCACCAGTTCCTAGAACACAATGTCAGCGTTTTTCTCCATCTCCCCCGTCACCTCCCCAACTTATCACCAGCTGCCTTATCCGAGAGAGGGACCCAAAAAGAAACTGAGGATGATCTTCTGGAGGGCAGGCCCCTTGTAGTCCAGGCTTCCCCCACTAGGTGAGTGTTCTAGGAACCCACCTGGATTAGTGCACCAGCTGGGGTTGTTGTGAGAGGCTGAATTTGGCTGCAGTGAGTATTTTTTGAAGACTCAGCACTTTTGCCCATTTCATGATGGGTGGTTTGCGGGCACACCTGCCCACACCACACTGAGTGTTCAACAGTTCTTGTCCAAAAATGGCATGGCCCCCCTGCCCCACCTTCCCTGTTTACCCAGTCTTGCCCCCCAATTGACTTTTTTCGTTTCCCCGGATATGAAAGGCCTCCAAGGGGAACTTTTTGCCAATGTGGGGAAGGTGAAACAAAAAACAGCGGAAACAGTACTGGCTGGTGTGGCTCAGTGGATTGGGTGCCAGCCTGGGAACCAAGGGGTCACCAGTTCGATTCCCAGCTGGGGTGCATGCCCAGGTCAGGAGTGACCTTGCTCCGCCTCGGAGGGGGCTGTGCCCTGTGTTCCCGGAGGTCCACCCACAGGAAGAGGCTGAGGAGTGACCGTGACGTGCTTTTAGGAACAGAAATGCCTTTATTTTGAGCACCGACTCCCCCTACTGTGTGTATTGATTTCCTGTGCACGTTCATTAGGCTGTTCCTCTAAAATATTGACTTTCTCTTTGAAAGTAATTCCAAGATGAGAGCAGATTACCCCAACGTGTCGTTTCTCCCCCCACTCTCCATCCAGTACACGCTGCGCTGTGACATGAAGCGGTCTCTGCTGGCCAAGGACCTGACGAAGACCTGCGAGTTCATCGTCCACTCCGCCGTAAGCTGCCCTCGGGTGCCGGGGCCTCACCGCAGGCAGGGGCCTCCCGTGGGGTCCGGGCTGCAGCCTGCTTCCACGCCCACAAGCCAGCCCGTGACCGCCGTTCCTCTGCCGCTGAAGGGCGCGGGCTCCCGGGTCGGGCACGAGGGACCTTACTCTCCCGGCACGGCCGGCAGCCTGTGCCGCACCGTGGGTGTCTTTCCGCTGGGCCAGAGTCCTGTGGGCCCAATGACACTGCGCCTCGGGGGGTGGGGGGGAGGGGTTGTGCCGTTGGGAGTGCCGGCTGGGGCCTCCCCTCTGTTCGCAGCAGGGAGCAAGCCTGGTCCTCGCCCTGGAAGGGGACTCGCCTTGCCCCTCGGGGTTGCAGGGCAGACAGCTCGGAGAGGGCCTGACCTGGCAGGTGCCGAGCAGTCCGGGCCTTGCGTTCTCGGCATGCTCAGCAAGGACGTAAGGGGGCACACAGGGCCAGCAGGGTAGGCTGCCCCTCCTGACACCCCCTGCTGGTATTTTGCAGTGACATAATGTCTTAAAACATTCCCATGTCAGCTTGAGGAACTGGATCCTCCCCCCAGGTCCCCACCCCCCGGCGACTCCGTGTAAATTCCCGGGAGTCCTCTGCAGCCGGGCTGTGCCCTGCCTTGGTCATGCGGAACCCGCAGCGACGGGCCGCGCCTGCCCTCGGTGTGACACATGGTGAGAGACGCCCGTGCCCGCAGCCCTGGGCTCCCTGGTGTCTCTCAGCCGCTGCGGACTCCCTGGCCTCGGCTCTGCCTCCTGCCTGAACACACCGTCGGCGCGCGCTCTGCCTCACTGTGCTCGCCTGCGGAGTGGGCCCGGTGACGGCTGCCGCGCCCCGAGGGCCGGCGTGTGGATCCGGTGGCACCTCATAGATGCTCTGGTGTCAGCTCTAATTCTGAGAGGTTTGAAGTATCTCCCAGTAATGCCTCTCTGTTTCTTCAGTCTAATTTTCCAACTCTGGATCTTCCAGAGACCTTGGAGATTAAGTCTGTCCTCCCATTTCACAGACGAGGACACTGAGCCGTGGCGTGAGCATCTTTGACACGGAATCCGAAGGTGTCTTGGGCGGGCCTGCGTTCAGAACCCGGGCACCCTCCTCTGCGTGCCTGGCTCTCCCTCGCTCACTGCTGCTGCTGCTGCCTTCCCAAGGGGGGGGAGCAGCTTTGACCGCAGGACCCCTGGCCCTCCGGCCGCTGATGCTGGTTTGTCCCGTTGCAGCCCCAGAAAGGGAGACTGACCCCGAGCCCCGTGGACTTCACCATCACACCCGAGACCTTGCAGAACGTCAAAGAGGTACTGTGTCCCCGCCCGAGCGGCGCGGCTGTCTTCTCAGGGACTGGGCCCCACTCCCAGGCGCAGGCCCGGCTGTTCCGTGTTTGGGTATCAAGAGGAAATTCTTGATTGTGCCCAGAATAGTCTGTATTTTCTGTCTCGACTCCCTTTTAAACCCTGTAACCACTCAGAAGACTAACGCTGTTGGAGAGTTTCTCGGGGTGTGTGTTCATTGTTTCTCACATCTCCTTCCAGCTCCGCACTGGGGTCAGAGACTCTCCCCCGAGGCGCGGTCCCCGCTGCTGCCTGTGCTGGTGGCCGCGCCCCCTTACGTCTCATTGTTGGCCGCCGCCTACACTTGGCCACCTGTCCCTTGTCACCCACGGACATGGCTTTTCATCCTCGCTCTCAGCCTGAACCCTGCTCTCTGGACCCTTTGATGAGTCAGGTTGAAGGCAGGTTTGGGGCTGGGCGCACGAGCGTGCTGGCCTAGTCCCTCGGAGCCACAGCCGAGGCAGGGCCGCACTGTAGGTGGCCTTTCAGAGTCTGCTACCCGTCCCTGCCTCCCCCAGCTTCGGGGAGCACAGGGCGCCGGTGGGCCAGTCCGCCGCTCCCCCTGCAGGGCCGTGAACCTGAGCGGGGAGCACGCGAGGGGACAGTGGGCGGGCAGCACTGGGCCCCCACTCTGCCCTGCAGACTCCCAGCAGGTTCAGTTAGCCCCACTGTTTCTTACGTCAGTTAGAGTAAGTTTGCATTTCTTTTTTTCTGAAGAATCTTCGTGATACAAAGCAGGTGAGAAGAGGCGCTGAACAGACAGATACAAACAGTTCCATTGCTTTACCTGGTAAACAGCGTCTAGCCAGAGTTTGGGGATACACTGTCTCCAGTAGAGGGATGTCCCCGCTCTGTTCTGTTTCGAAGCTCTCATTTCACTCCCACATCTTGTCCTGCCCTCGGCGGTATCCTTTACTGTCTCTTTCCCTCTCTTCGCTCCGATGCATAAGGTTGCGAGGGATTTGTCTTTTTTTCTGTTCTTGTTGTTCGCTCCTGTTTTCTTTAACATCTTATTTCTCCTTCCCGAGTAGTTGCCCTTCAGTGTTTGCACATACGTGGGCAGTTTTGCGTGTAAACACAGCACTGAGAATAAGCGCCTTCTGGGAGAAGTTTGTCACATTGTTGCGTTTCCTACCATCCCGCACCTCCTTGTTTGTTGTTTGAAATCCAAGGTCTGGTCTGCTCGGCCCCAGGGTTACTTTCCGGATTTAACCCCTTATTGGCACACACGCCAGCCCTTCATAGTCGTCTCACACGCCACAGTCACTTTCGCCTTAACTGGAGGCTTCACCCTGGTCATTTCTCACCATTGATTCTACTCACTTACGTCATTGTCTTTTTTCAATTTGGTTTTTGTTTAGCTGGAATCCATCCTAGAGTTATTCTTTCAGAAAGGGTGAGGAGCAAACTGAAATCCTTGAGTGTCTAGAAATTATCTTACTTTGCTCCCACACTTGAATCCTGGTCTGGACGGGAAATCCCAGCCTTAATATCATTTGCCCTTAGAACTTTGAGAAATAGCTGCCTGGTGGTCTAGTGCCCAGTGACAGCGACGACAGCCTGGTCCTCAGATCTGGGTGAGCTGATCTGCTTCTTCCCCTCCCCCTCTCCTCTTCCACCCCCTCCTCCACAGATCCTCCAGCATCTCCCCTCCTCCGGGCTCCAAAACTTCAGAGTGCTTGCCCAAATGCAGGCTTTACTCCGCATGCCTGGCGCCTGGTGGTCCTTTCCATCCTGACGGCTGAGCCGTCCGTCAGCCGTGTGCACGGCCCTGTTGTCGCTTCTGGGGCCCGCCACACCCGGGAGAAGCCCGAGGCTCGGCTCTCCGGCTCCGTGCTTTGCCCTCGGTGGACGTCCAGCCCTTCTGGTGCAGGGCTGACTCGACGACAGTGTGATTCGTGTCCATGCGAGGCTCCTCCTTCACGGAGCCCCTCCTCCTAGTGCCGCTGCCGCGCCGGTCCGTCGACGCTGTTTCTCCGGGCGCAGTTCCTCTGTTTATAGTGAGCGCCTCCGTTTCTTGGTCCGTTTTCCTCAAGTGTGTATTGGTTCTCGGTTACAAGTTTGTATTTACAGATGGTGATCTCATGCGCATGGTCTTGCTACCTGGACTCTCCGTCCTCAGCCCGGACGGATCTGCTGCGGTCACAGGCGGGCACTCCGGCCAGGGGAGCTCTGCCGGGAGTGCTGCGCCGGGGGTGGGAGGCGGCGGCGGGCCCTGGGGGCCTCCTCCTCCGGTGGGCGTGCAGGTGGTTTGTCTGCTCGGCCTCGGGGCTCCTGCGCTGTAACTGTGCATGACTCAGAATGCGTGCCCTGCCTTGTCCAGCCTGCTTTGGGGGTGTCCTGGGTGGGTAGCCCCCCTTGAAAGCCACGGGCCCCCTGGGGAAGTGCCAGCTCCAGAGGCCGCAGCCAGCGGGCCCACGCTCCGACACATGTCCCGTGAGCACCCACGGGCTGCCCTCTCCCGGGGCTCCCCTGCTTCCCTGGGCCCTGGCAGGCACGGTGCCCGGGGCCTGCTGCGGACGCTCGCCCTCAGAGCCCTGCCGACCGCAGGGCGCGAACCCTGTGAGCGCCACTGCGCACCGACCTCAGAAACGCTCCGGGGTGGCCGCGGGCGGCGGTCGGTAGCTCTGCGGGAGCGCACGTGCGTGCGTGCCGTGCGTGTGTGCGCGCCATGCGTGCATGCGTGCTGACGCCATGCTGGGGTGAGGGGGGGGGACGTTTGGTGCGTGCCTGCAGCCGGCTCCTGAGAGCTTGTCCGTGCTCTTCGCGCGCTTAAAAGAGTTTTAGTACCGCTGCTGCTGCTTATCCTTCTGAACAAAGAGCTGCCGTGATTTTAGTTACCTTAGAACTGTCTGGAGTGACGGCTTTTTGGGGGCGCCCTGCTCTTCAGCCCCCGACCTGGGCCGCCCAGTCCGACTCGAGGCGAGCCGCAAGCGTGAGGTCTGGGGGTCCAAGGCCCGGTGTGAGACAGAGAGTGGGAACATCGTGATCTGTGGATATTGATTCTGTGCGGGAGTGATATAACAGTTTGGATATATTGGCTAATTTTACCCGTTTCCTTTTACTTTGTAAAACGTGGCTGCTAGGGAAGTTCAAACCGCGCACGTAGCCCGCCCCCGTGGCCTGCCGCGCGTGTACGTTTCTGCCGGACGGGGGGCGCCCTCGGCTCCGCGCCGTCCTCGGCTCCCGGGACGCCCCCAGGGCTAGACCAGCGGGCTCCCTCGGGCCCCCGTCCTCCCCCGGGACCGTCGCACTCGCGTGGGACCGGTTTCCTCTGTCGGCAGAGAAAAGGGCCACAGGTCACAGTCAGGGTTTGGAGGACACTCTTCTCTTTAAATTTCCTCGAAGTCCAATCAGTGTGCTGGCTTTCAAGACTGCATTACTAGGAACACTTTATAATCGATCCTCTTGTGAAAAACCGTTCCGCGTGCGCGGTTGGCTGGCTGTCTGCAGACTCTTCCTCGGGCATTTCACCTGTGGTTCCCTCGGGTCTGGAGGGGCTCTCCCATCTGACCCGGGCGGGGAGGGGTGTCGGCCGGGGCCTGGTGTCTGGCGGGAGAGGTGGCGGAGTCGGGCAGGTCGTCACGGTGACGGGAGACGCAGGAAGTGCTGCCGCATCTTGTGAAACTGCAACCCCAGGGTTTTTACCCGGACGATCCGGCTTTGCTTTCCACCTTTACCCGCGCCACCGTGACTGTGGAGTCCTCTCCCGTCCTGACGGCTTTGCCCCTGTCCGGTTTCAGAGAGCCGTGCTCCCCAAGTTCCTCATCAGGGGACACCTGAACTCGACCAGCTGCGTCATCACACAGCCGCTGACGGGCGAGCTGGTGGTGGAGAGCTCGGAGGCCGCCATCCGGAGCATAGAGCTGCAGCTGGTCCGCGTGGAGACCTGCGGTGAGGTCCCGCCCGCAGTTCCAGAAACGTCCGGGGCGGGGGCGGGGAGAGAGGCGGAGGAAGAGGGGCTCGGGAGCCGTGGGAGCCTCGGCGAGAAGCCGTGCTGCGCCGATGCAGGTCCTCACGGTCACACGGCGCCTTCAACCGCGTGCTGTCCGCCGGCCGGTCTCTGACCACGTGGTGCTCCCCCTCCTCCAGGGTGCGCGGAAGGCTACGCCCGCGATGCCACCGAGATTCAGAACATTCAGATCGCCGACGGGGACGTCTGTCGGGGCCTCTCCATCCCCATATACATGGTCTTCCCCCGGCTGTTCACCTGCCCCACGCTGGAGACCACCAACTTCAAAGTGGGTGAGTGCTGGTTCCCAGCCCTGGTGGCCGCCCGGGGTCCTGGGACAGGCGTGGTCCCCAGAAAGGGCCACCCACAGCCTGGGACAGACACACCTGTCCGCTTGGGTCGGATCGGCTCCGAGTACTCGACCTTCAGTCCCCGCTTGAAGGCCCACCGGGAAGCGCGGAGCTGGGGCTGAGGGTCTGCAGCGAGCGGTCCCGGCTCTGAGGACGCTTGCGTTGTCACCCAGGGAGGCGCCAGCAACCTCGTCGGTGTGAGCAGGCCACGGGAAACTGGGCCGGGAACTAGCACAGCAGGCACAGGCCAGCTCTGTGCGCGGGGAGGTCAGGACAGAGACGGAAAGCGTGTGATGGTCCTGGGAACACGAGTCATCGCGAGGCCGGGCCGCGCCCGCTGGCGAGTAAGCCAGAGGGGGTCGGCAGCTGCTCCTGCTGCTGTGCCTGGTTCTCGGAGAAGTGGGGGCGCAGTCCCGGAGGCCAGCGTGTTTTATCAGTGCCCCACCGCCCTACGTCTTGTAGGGTGCGTTATTTGTAGTCCAGAGAGAATCTTTGTTTTTAGAAGTAGACCATGATTTTACTTTAAACAATCCCAAATAATATAACTTACAATGTAAGGAAGTACAGGTTCCTCTCCAAAGCCGAGTGTGCGCTGCTGGTTTAAATGGAGGGTGTCGCACCTGCCTCTGACCCTGGCACTTCTCGGACCTTTGGGAGCCTCCATGTGGGGGCGGGAGCCCAGTTTGTTTGTGAGGCCCCTGGCGTGCGTCATCGGAAACGTTACACTGAGAGCACGTGGGGTCAGGACACCTCGAAGATGACGTTGGTCAAACCTGACCCAGCCGAGGTACCGTGATGTCTCTAAAACACCGAGTACGGTTCTCGTGGAAGTGGCCATCCCTGCCCACAGCACAAGAGCCAAAGGCCCAGGGGCCCCGAGAGCGGGGGGAGTACCCTCAGCCACCCAGGCTCCGCCCTGGACCACAGCCCCCCAGGTGCACCCAGGCCCCCAGCATCGTCGTCAGCACCCCGCCCATGCGGCCTGAAGGTGCTGCGGCTGCACGTCCGGGGCCTTTGGTTCTAAGTTGAGGTGGAATTTCTGTCGATTTCTCCGTATGGTTTTCCTGCCCAGACTTCAGAAAGGTCCAGAAAACTAGCTTGTCTGCTGTGCTGTTCATCAGGCCCCTACATTTTTAGTGTTATTTCTGTCAGGTTTACAAAGTGTCCATATACCATTCATTCAGGGCCTCTGGTCCTTCCATATAGGTGACACCCTCGGTCCCCCAGCCACGGCCCCAGCCGTGCCCCGTCCTCACGCATGGTGCTGCACAACGGCAGGTGCCGCTGCAGTGGGGGGTCCCCACACAAAGGCCGGGGTGTGTGACCGCGGAGGGCGGCAGCCTCCGCCAGGCCCGGAGCGGCCCTGCCTGGCCAGCCGGGGCCGGGCTCCGAGTCCCGCGGTGGGGTTGGCACCCCAGGCTGGGAGGCGGGATGAGGCCCCGTCCCTAGGTGGGAGCAGTGTCTGGGTGCTGATCACACGGGTGACTTCGTGCACCTGGTCAGGCCAGAGTTGGGGGGCTTGGCTGCCCCGGGACCACCGCTCTGCCACGTCCTGTGCCCCAGGGACAGCCAGCACCAGCTGCCTGAGGTGGTCCCGGCTCCCTGGCCTGTCCTCCCCGCGCACGTCGGCCACAGCGGTCTCCCAGGGTGGGGACGGCGGGTGGCTGGAGGAGGGGGAAGGGATGAGCCGGAAGCCCGGGGGCCCTTCCCGTGCTGTGACTCTGATCGCAGGCAGGCAGGCGGGCGGGGAGGCACTGCGTGGGGCAGGTGACAGTCCCACACGGGGCGTTGTCCTCGGGGCCCCAGGCACAGGTGGGGTCCCAGACCAGGTGACCCCAAGCCCCTTCCACAGCTGAGCTCCTGCGTGGTGGGGTGGGACGGGCCGCCCCTGTCCCTGCATCCCAGCCGCTTCTCTGCCCGCACGGGCCCTGCCGCCTCCCTCTGCCCGCAGCCCGGGGCCAGGCTGGCCCGTGCTCAGGGAGCTGCCCCTCACGGCCCCTCTGCCTTGTCAGCAGGGCTGGCCCACATGTAGCAGCTAAGGAGCTGGTGGAGAAAGGACCCTGTTTGCCGAGAGGTCGGAGACGGACGACTGGCCGGTGTTCCAGTTAGGCTCTCGGTGTCCAGAGGAACAAGTTCACCCAAACGCTCTCCTGACCGCGGTCTCCCACCGTGGAGGGGGCCTGTGCCCAGGCAGCCGCAGGCCAGCCCGGGCTGCTGTTCCACTAGGAACTGTGGGAAACGTAGAAATAAAGCAGAGGAGGGGGAGGGAATGGAAAGGGTTCCGGAAGATTCCCTCTAGGAAGGTGTAGTTGGGGAAGCTGATGTCCACCTGTTCCCAGGTGGGGAGAAGTGTATTTGAGCAAGTGTCAGGGGACTTCCGGCAGGTCCCCTCTCCCGGAGGCCCAGGGGACGGTGAGAACACGGCCCGGCCCCTGACCGCTCAGAGCAGGCGGGGCCTGCAGAGGGGTGGCCTTCGGGTCCGGCTCCGGGCAGGTGAGCTGACGCTGTCTGTCCTCTGTCTCCACAGAGTTTGAGGTGAACGTCGTGGTGCTGCTGCAGGGCGACCACCTCATCACGGAGAACTTCCCGCTGCGGCTCTGCAGGGTGTAGGCCCGCCGAGGGCCCGCGGGGACCGGGCCCGGCACACAGCGCCTCCTCGGTGACCCTGCCCCAGGCATGGGCCTGCCCCCACGTCCCGGTCGCCTTCTTCCTCGTATCCTCGAGGCTTCTCCTCCCGGTGGGCGCCTCCAGTCAGCCTCTTGAAGTTCACTGGGTTCCTGGTGTTGGCGGGGTCACTCGGGAAGCAGGACTTCGTCGGCCGCCTGACCTTGCTGCTGCTGCTGGGTGGGCAGAGGGCAGCGAGGCCCTGGGCCCACAGGGCACCCCCGTGCCTGGCCGACGGGTGGGGCTGGGGCTGCGACTGCAGAGCCACGGCAGGGCAGCCACCAAGCTCTGTGGGTCTCCAGCACTGTTCGTGGTGACCTTGAAGCCCTTAGAGAACTGGAAGACAGCCTTCCTGCTGCCCTAGGACTGAGGGACTTTGGTGACAGTGGCTGAAGTGTTTCCGAAGTCCCAGGACCTGGTGTGAAACCGTGTGCCACCGGGTTCCCAGAATGCCCTTCGGGGCCAGGTTATGTCGGGGCATGTGTCTGAGCCCAGTGCTGGGTGGGTTCTTAGCAGCAGGAGGCTCGCTTCCAGGCGGTAGGTGAAGACCTGTCTGCACTGGCTGGGGCCAGAAGTGTCCTGGACTCAGTGAGCTTGGCCTCCCTCCGACCCTGTCTGTGTCCCAGCCAGGGGGCTGGGCCTGAAACCACTTCCTCCTGAGCCCCGCTCTGTGGCCCACAGTGCACGGTGAGCTGGTCACAGCCCGTTTCCTCCTTCCCTTCCCTTCGCTTCCCGCCCTGCCCTTCCCCCCACCGGCCCACCATTGACCGGCCCTCAGAAGTAAACCCTGCACTCGGCCTGGCCTTCCCTGGCAGCGCCCCGCTGGGGCGGGCTCAGGGGGACGGCCACCGTCCCCGGACAGCACGTGTGGTGCTGAGTGCAGACGACCCCGGCCCGGGCACGGCTCCGTCGCAGGCCCTCACCGCGGGGAGGGAGCGCACGCGTGCAGGGCCATCCAAGGCTGGTGCCCGCGGGACACACGGCTGGTTCACAGGTCTCCTGCGCTCACGCCCACGTCTGTCCTTGACGACGTGTTTGAGCTAAAGCAGCAGAAGACAAAGAGGCTCTGCTTTGGGGGATATTTCACAGGTAGAAATCATTTTTAATGGAAAAAAAAAAAAAGCCAAATAGGAATTCTGAGAAGTGCTTTCAGGTGTGTGTTGCTACGTTGGTTCTTTAGTGTGCCCAGGTTGCAGACATCAGTAGGACGAGGACTCCTTAGGGGGCAGTTGTCTCCTGCGGAGGAGCCGCAGCCCAGCCGCCTTCCGCACTTCCCTAGGCCCTGAGGGCCCGGGCGAGGGCGTGGGGCCAGACGTTTCCCCCTCCCCCGTGGCCAGGCACCTCCACCGGAGGCTGTTAAGGGAAACTCAGGTGTCCAGCTGCCCCAGCTGGGGCCGGGTCTGTCCACTCCGGGAGGCTGGGCTTGTCAGATTCTCCCATCTGAGGAAGGGAGGCGAAGGAAAGAGTCCGAACTATGAATTACTGTTTTGGAAATGTCCCTTTAGGCAGGAACACAGTTTGGCCATCAGAGTTCCAGCAGAAATGGGGCCTGGGTCCAATTCTCAGGTGTGTTGGAGATTCCCAAGAAGGCCGAGAGGTCAATCAGAAATAAAATGTTAGAAGAGCCAAGCATCGTGCCTGAGTTTGTCCCAGGTCCCTGTCCCAGACCCACCTTGATGACAGTTCGTGGGAGGTGGAGCCCTGGCACTTCTGCCCCCCCCCAGGGGGTCTCCCCTGACCCCCTCAAGTCCTGACCCTGAGTCTGACTCACCCCTTGAAAGCCGGGGGGCTGAGTTACCCCCATGTGCCCGTGGTGACTGGGGCTGGAGCAGGTCACCAGACTCCCACAATCCCTCTGGTTGCCCCTCCGTGTTCAGAAACACGGCTGTGTTGCCATGGGGCCATGCCCACCCGGCAGGAGACTCATTTCGGACTCCTTTGCAGCTAGGTGTGGTCTCGTGGTGGAGGATGTGGGCCACTGGAGGGCCAGATCCCACCGGGCTTGTCCAACAGCGGGACCAGGAACAGGCCTGCATCCCGGCCTAGACCGTGCCGGCCACGACGAGTGAGCAGGGCACCCGGCCTCCCCGCCCCGTGTCACTGTCATCACCGTTGTCATCACCGGAGACAGAAGGAAAAGGGGCTCGCTCCCACGCCTCTGGACTGTTGAGGGTCTTGGCCGTAGTTAGTTGCTGAGGAAAATGGGCTGGTTTTCAGTCACTCCTTCTCCAAGCAATTAAAACGACTAAGTTACGGTGTTCCCAGAAAAACGTGTCAGCTCACTACTGAGTGTAACTTGCGTGATGATGGTTGTAAGGCGCCCGTTCCGTCCCCCATTTGGGGAAGAGAGCTGCGGCGGACGTGGTGGGGTGCTGCCTGCCGCCCTCCGGTGCCAACTGTCAGTGGACTCACGGGTGGCCTTCCTCCCGGGAAGTCCGACATCGGGTGTGGCTGACCCCACCCCCCCACCGGGAGGGGCGGCCACGCGCCGCCCTGGGAGCTCCGCCCCGGCAGGGTGAGCTGCCCGCGTGTCTGAGAGTCACCAGCTGTGGGCGTGGGCTAATGAGAGCACGTGCCGGGGGCATCAGCTGTGCCTCTGGGTCAGGGGACCGGCCAGCCCTGTGCAGCGGCCCCCGGAGGAGGGGTGGCCGTGTCCCCACGCGGCCCCGCCACCCCCGGGCAGCGGCCCGGCCACCACAGTCCACGTTGCCCCGCACCGACGCCCGCTTCTCCCCGCACCTTGCCTCGTCGGGGCGTCACGTGCCCTGTCCGTTTCCTCCCGTTTCCCCGTCACACGTACGTCGTCCGCGAGAGGGGCCGAGGGTCGGCTCTGTTCGCCGGTGTCCGGTCGCCTCGGTTTGGGGCAGCGGGAGCCAGCGAAGACGGAGCTCGCACGCCGCCGAGGAAGGGTCAGCCGCTGGGTGCGGTTCAGGAGCGCGGGGGGCGGGGAAGGCCCCGGTGCCCCGGGTGAACCGCGTTCTGGCCCTGAATTCCTTCCCGGGGAGTGAGGGCGTCGGGGACGTCCGGGCCCCACTCGGAGCACCGGAACGCGGCGCAGCGCGTGACCGCACGGCAGCCGTCTGGGGGTTCCCGCCCCCACTTTGCAGCGGGCGGAGAGGCCGGGACCCTCCCAGCCCGTCCCAGCCGAGTCAAGTGGACCAACGTCCCCCACGCCGTCCTCACCCCTCACCGAGGTGTGCCCACGTGGGACCTTGCCCCCGGGGGCTCTCTGAACCACAGCTCCCCGCAAGCCACCCCTCGTGGTCCCCAGCTGGTTCTCCAGAAGGCTGAAGAAAGTTTGCGAAGGACACCACCGTTTGCGTGGCGAGGCGTATCCCAGGGACTGGGAATGAGAGGAGCTGAAAACTTGCTCGGCAGAACCACCTCCAGGGAAAATGCTCTCTGGAGGGAAGGCCGCCTTTTAGACACAGATCTGTAAGCACAGACTCAGAACGAGCCACTCGAGTAGGAAAAGGCCACCCGTGCGGGCCGAAGGTGGCGGGAGAGTCGGCCTCCCGCCGATGGGCTCTGCGCTCCAACCACCGAAGGCCGTTTCTGTCTGGACTCTCCCGGCGGCCGGAGTAGTCGGAGAACGCGCCCGGACTCAGAAAGCCAAGGGCAGGGCAGGGCAGCTCAGGGGCACAAGCAAAGCTGCCCCGACTACACCCACCACGAAACAGAAACACGGTCCGATCGCTGCAGCATGTCACCCGGTGGCAGGGGGAGGCGGACCGAGGACGGAGAACTCGGCGAGGGTCCCTGATGGCCCCCTCTGCTTTTCTGTGGGTGTCGCTGGGGAAGTGGGAAGGCCTTGGCCCCCGCCCAGCAGGCAGGATCCTGACACTACAGGGTATTTCACCCCCAAACCCAGCCGGTTCCCCCTGCCCCCAGGGCTGTCTGTGTGACATACAGAAGGCACGCAGCAGACTGAGTTACCCGGGAGAGGCCAAGATGTAACCCACTCCCGCTGCTTCCAGACGCTCGCCCGACCGGAGGGAGCACCTGTCTGCCCAAGACCTGGGCTACCGAGAGCAGCACCGCGTGCCCACGCTCTGCACCAACGGGCGCTTCCCAGGAGGAGGCCTGCGTCTGGTGGCCTTGGCAGGCCCCGCTGTGGCGGCGGGGCTTGGCCTGGGAGCCGCGGAGAAGCAGCTCCAGAGAGCAGGGCTTCTGAGGGGCTCGGTGTGTGGAGCAAGGGCCCCCCAAGAAGGGTGTCACTCCTTTCTCAGGGGTCACTGTCTCCCACCATCCTCAAGGACGAGTGCTTCAGTGCCACACCCTCTGGGGCTTAAGGGGCAGGAATGGGACTGGCTCTCCTGTCTGCAGATGAGCAGCCAGTGGCTGGGCCGCCCGGGGCCACCAAGGAAAGGCTGTGCTCAGACTTAGCCGTGGGGAGCAGCAGAAAAACAAAGGCTTAAATATTCATTTAAAAAATAGTTTCTGCCCTGGCTGGCGTAGCTCAGTGGATTGAGCGCGGGCTGCGAACCAAAGCATTGCAGGTTCGATTCCCAGCCAGGACACATGCCTGGGTTGCAGGCCATGACCCCCAGCAACCACACATTGATGTTTCTCTCTCTCTCTCTTTCTCCCTCCCTTCCCTCTCTAAAAATAAATAAATAAATTTTTTTAAAAAATAGTTTCAACATCAGTATGCATTAAGAACACCCAAACTCAAAACCCAATACATGATCAAATTTAAGAAATGAATGTTTGCTTCCTAAGATTTTCACTACCATGTGCCTTTATAGCTTACAGAAAATACATACTTTTAATCTATAGAAAATTTTCAACAATTATATATTTTTTCCACAAATAGAAAACTCTCAATAAAATTTTAAGTAGAAATTGCCCAAGCCATACACTCTCTTGTAGTGCAATAAAATTAGAAATTAATAACAAGGAAAATCAAAATTCAATATAAGCACTTGTAAATTATATAACATTCATCAAAGAGGAATCCAAAACTTCATTTACAGGCCCTTTTATTTTCGAAGATTTATTTTTAGAGGAGAAGGGAAGGATAAAGAGAGGGAGAGAAACATCGATATGAGAAAGAGACATCACTTGGTTGCCTCTGACATGCACCCCCATCAGGGACTGAACCTGCATCCCAGGCATGTGGCCTGACAGGAATCGAACCGGCGACTTTTCACTTTGCGGGATGACGCCCAACCCACTGAGCCACACCGATCAGGGCTACAGGCCCTTTTCAGCTCGAATGAGAAGGAGCCCACTAAACAGCAACAGCTAGTGCTGCAATCACAGCACAATTCATAGCCTTAAATGTGCTTATTACACCAGACAGAATGAAAAACAACGAGTTTAGGCATTCAAATTAAATGTCTAGCAAACAAATTAAGAGAAAAGAATTAATGATAAAAGCAGGAATTCATTTGAAAGCAAAAACACTATCAAAAAATGTATAAGTAAGTCCATCAGTTGGCACTTTGAAAAGACTAATTCAACTGGAAGATCTTAAATACAGCAAAACAAAACGCAAAGAAAAAAGAAATATGTAACACTAGGAACAACTTCAGATTAAAAGAAAACCAATAAGAATTATATTGAGTTGGCCAAAATGTCCATTTAGTTTTTTCCATAAAATAAAAGATATTTTTCATTTTCACCAATACTTTATTGATTTGGATATTTTGAGTAGGCCGCTATCTTCCATTAGTGGCTTCCAGTGGGTAGAGGCTAGGGGTGCTGCTGAACATCTTCCAATGCACAAGACAGCCCCAAAGCAAAGAATTATTTGGCCAAAATGTCAGTAGTACCAAGAAACATCGCAAGTCATTTTGGCATGTTTGATAAGTCACAGGACCTTCTCCACACACTGCACAATTTTTTTTTTTGCATTTCAGTTACGTTATCTTTTTTGAAATAATAAAGCAGAATATGCCACAAACGTGTATTTTCCTTTCATCTTCAACATTGAAATGATTTCAGAAAAATTCACCAGTTTTGATAAGTTTTTAAATACACACTAATATGACAACTAGCACAATACAATCTAACAAAATTGTTTTGAATCAAGTTAAAACAACCAAGCCCCACCAGAGCCATTGCCCGGGAAAAACTAAACAAACTTTTTGGCCAGCCCGGTATTAGCAGTGCCCTCGTAGGTCCCCCGGACCCAGCTCCTGCTTCGACAGTGTGTGGACGGCACAGACCCGGGACGCCCCTTCTTCCAGCCTCCAACCACCCCCAACCTCTTGTCCAGTCGCCACCTTTGGAACCACCTCAGCCACCCTTGACCTCCAAGACCAGCCAACCCCGTTTTCTGACCTTCGCCCCTGACTGCCGACCAACCCGAGCTCCCCGATGCGCCAGAATTATCCCCCAAGGTGGAGGCCCTGCGAACCCCCTGGTCCGTGTGCATCTGCCGGCCTCCCAGTCCTACCTCCCTCCGGCCTGTCTCCACGCGGTGCTGTGGCCCTGCAGGGCGTGGGCCGAAGCCCAGGGCCCCGAGCGTCTCTGGAAGATGCAAAACCAGCGCCGTGCGGCACCCTCTTCCCGGACGTGCAGAAGCCGTCCCCAGAGGAGTGGGTGACACTCTGGACGCCAGGGAAGCCGCCCGGTCCCAGAGGAGAACCTGGCGCCGGCCTCCTGGACCTGCAGGCCTGGTTCTGCCCGCACGGCCCTTGGCTCCGGACTTCCTGCGGAGCCGTGTCCTGGGTGAGCAGGTGGAGCTCACCAAGAGGATGGGCGACACCTGGCTCCCTCTGAGGGCGGGCGGGCGGGCCCCCCAGCTGGGCGAGTGTCTCTTCAAAAGGGTCAAGGACGACCAGTGGCCTGTGGAGCCCAGAGGCCTTCAAGGCCCCCCCTGCACCCGCTGGGGTCCGGCTCCTGCCCAAGCCCTCCCTGCAGCCACTAGGCAGCCTTTTAAGCTTCCCCCCTGCCAAGGCCCAAATAGAAACAATAAAGCTTTTTGCAGCAAGAGAAAAAAGAAAGGAAAAAAAAGATTTATAATGTTAAACGATGTGCCTTTCCTGCCAATAAACTTGTGAACTTCGGTCAAGTGCAGAGTGCCTCCAGCAGAAGTAGGCGACTGACAAAACGATGGCCTGTGGGCGGAAGCGGGAAGGAGGCCGAGGAAATGGATCTAAACGGGTGGCAGGCCCAGGAGGTTTCGCAGCGTGTTCCCACTGCAGCCTCAGGGGCCGGAGGGCTGCTCCGCTCTGTCAACGGTCACCTCGCCGGCCCCGAGGGGGATGGAAGCCCTCCCAGCTGGTTGTACGAGGCCAGCTTCGCCCAACCCCGACATCCGACCTAGCCGCTGGCATTAGGACTCGCTGTGAGGGAGGGAGAACCAGGTGGCGCGGCCTGGACCAGACGCACGTAAGTGTGCCCTGGCACGGCAGTCCGGCGCTGGCATGGCAGCTCCGAGCCCTGACGTCCTCAGCAATCCAAGCCACTGCCCGCTCACGGTGGCACCTTCTCTCAGGCGTGGCCCTGGCCTTCAGGGTTTAAGAGAGCAGTGCCGGCCATCCCCCCGGCCTCGCTGCAGGACGAGGGGAGGGATGGAGCTGGGAAACAGGCGAAGGCCAGGGGCCAGCTCTGTCCAGGAAGGCGTCTAGAAGCTGCCACAGGACGCTTCTGCCTGCGTCGCATCGTCAAGAGCTCACACGGCCACAGACAGCTGCAAAGACACGAGAAACACATTGTTCTGTGTGGTCACGTGCCCGCTAAGATCGCAGAGGTTTTATAACGAGGGAAAACTAAACATTGGCAACTCGGAAAAACCCCCAACAAACCTACATCGGCTCCTACTATGGATGCAAAAGTCCTAGGTAAAACGTGCACAAGTACACCCTCTCCTGTGCCCTGGTAAGGCGGACGCGCTGCCTCAGGAGGCTAACGCAGAAGGGCAAAGTAAGTCGCCATAAAACCCAGAGACAAGAGGGTGAAACTCCTCTTTGGATCCTGTCTAGAGTCACAGCTGGGAAAAGAAAAGTTCTCAAGTTAATTTTTCAGTGTGCTTACAAAAGAAATATATCGTGACCAGAAAGGAGGGTTTATTTCAGGTACGAAAAGAGCTCGACCCTAGAACACCTGTTCACGTCATCTGTCGCATCAGGGGGTTGAAGGGGGACATCTCTGTGGGTGCCACACGGTACGCGTTCTTTCGCTGTAACTTTTTATTGTGGGAATTCCCAACATAGATGAGGGAGAGAGTCATCTAGATTATTCCACCCAAAATATATCTGTCATGCACCTTTGTTTTTGTTAACATCGTTGAGATATAGTTCAAGGACCATAACAGTTACCCTTTTAAAGGGCACGGTTCAATCGTTTTTCGTATATTCTGAGTTGTAGAAACTTGGTGACCTAAATTTGGAACAGGCTGCCTTCAGGAGGACGTGGGTTTTCGTCTGTTTCATTGGCCGACAGACCCCACGCGCCTGGCTGGGGTAGTTTGTGGCCCATAGAGGAGGCTCGATAACGCTACTTGAACTAACAAAGATAAGTCCATTCAGAACTCGGGGGCCGTGACACCTGGAGGAAGCGGAGCCGAGCGCCTCCTTGCAAAGTGGGGGAGGCAGAGACTGGAGTCGGAATGGAACTGAGGCGGCTGGAGTCTGGGGATCAGAACACTGGAGAGGCAAGATAGTCATACAGAAAGAGCACCAGAAATCTGACAGGGGCCCCCTGAATGTGTTGCTAAAAACTTAGTTGTGTGTGTACGGGGCGAAACTCTGAAAGGCGAGGAGATACAGGGTGTCCGTGAACGGAATGGTTCCTGGAGCTGACCCAGGGCTGGGCGACGTGGGGATTCCAAACAGCCAGAGCGAAGGTTCCACAAGGGTCAGGCTTCAGTAGGAGCTTAAACCCATCCCAGCGAAGCCGAACTGGTTAAGTCTTGAAGGGGTCGAGCTGCTGCAAGCAGCAAGTCTGCAGCCACGACAGACTCAGCGCTCGTGAAGCCACAAGCTCCAGACGCTCGGTGTGTAACACACAACACACTAGCATCTGATCAAAATTGCTGGGCACCCCAGGAAGCAGGAGAATGTAGTCCATACACAGGGGGAAAGTCGGTCAAAAGAAATAGATCCAGAAGGGCCAGACGTGGGCAAATTAGCAGACAGCACATTTAAAACACCTATTGAAAATATGCTCGAGGGGTAAACCTCGGGCATCAGTCTGAGCGGTGTGTCTGGATATGTCTCAATGGGCAACAGAAGCAAAAGCTACAAAAAACAAGTGGGGCTACACCAGACTAAAAAAGTTTTGCACAGCAAAGAAAACCATCAACAAAACAAAAAGATAACCTGCTGAATGGGCTAAGATGTTTGCAAAGGATATATTGAATGAGGGCTTAATATCCAAAACCTATAAGAAACTCATGCAACTTAACACCAAAACCCCCAAACAATCCACTTTTGAGTGGGCAGAAGACCTGAACAGACACTTGTCCAAAGAGGACACACAGACGGCCAAGGGCCGTATGAGAAGATGCCCGACCTCACTAATCATCAGGGAAATGTAAACCAAATCCACAGTGGGCTACCACCTGTGAGAGTGATATTTTAAAGTAAATATTTGGTTTAGTAAGAAAAATGGCATTTAAAAAGTCACTTTATATCATGGGTTTTCTGGGAAGAGCTATTTACCTTGTACAAGAATCGAGTTTTCTACCATCAGACTTTCTACAAGCACTGTTTTGCTGTGACTTTCCTATAAAAAGATAATAAAGCAAATTCTCTGTGCCTTTTCCTCATCCCTACAGTAGAGACCAGTGTTTGTTTCTGTCCTGTTCCCAGACAGGGAGAGACCGAAGACCTACTCAGGGGCCCCTTCTCTACCACGGGGACCCAACATTCCTTCTTACAACTAGTATTTTTTCAAGGTTATATTTATTTATTTTTACAGAGGGAAGAAGGGAGGGAGAAAGAGATGGAGAACCATCAGTGTGCGGTTGCCTCTCATGTGTCCCCTACCGGGGACCTGGCCTGCAACCCAGGCATGTGCCCTGACTGGGAATCAAACCGGGAACCCTTTGGTTCACAGGCTGGCACTCAGTCCACTGAGCCACACCAGCCAGGGCTTTATAACTAGTATTTTTAGACATTTTCATTTATGACCAATATTTTCATGATTAGCAATAGTTTAATATTAGATGAAGGTTTCAATATCTCCTATAAGAAAACCTGATAAGAAATGTATACCTATATAAGCTACCTATGCTTATAATTTTTAAAAAGCCAATATAATGCTCAGCTCTAATGCAAAAAAGAAATCAAAGCAATGTGTTATGCAGTGATATGCTTAGACACAAACAAACGGGACAGTGGGGTGCTGGACCCCGCATGCAGAATCGCCGTGAATGTGACCGCTACAAACGTAGCAGATGAGGGCGTCCGGCGCGTGAGGGCCTCCAACGGCAGAAAGGGGGTGCTGCTGGATGACACCACTTCCCAAAATGGTGAACAACTCTTGGTAAAGTGCCAGGAAAAACAACGTGCAGTCAAACCTCAGTCCTCTGTTTGCACAGTAACGCGGTCCTGGGAGGTTCAAGTACCTACAATCTGAAAGATGCTTGGTGCTTACACAGCAAAGGGGTCCGGGGGGTCAGCCTGTACTGTTCGGTAGTCGGCACAAGCCACTTGCCATGCGCAATGCAGCTGCTCCGCATGTTGCAGACTAGATTTAGGACTATTAAAAAAGAAGTCACGTATCGCATTAATAATGTTTATATTGATTATACATTGAAATAATATTTTGGGTATCCTGGGTTAAATAAAATATATCGCCCACATAATTTTACTTGCTTCTTTTTTACTTTTTAATGTTGCTACTAGGAAGTTCTGAATGTGATGAGTGACTTAGCGCACAGCAGCGCGGATGCGCAGCCTGAGTTTGGCGGGACTTCGAGAGTCTTAGTGGGGGAGGGGCCGGTCCTGGCGCTGGAGTTATCGGGCTCCCGGTACAGCGTCTCACACCCTGAGCCTTCGCCACCTGAATCCCAGTCCTTGTAACAACCCAAACCATCTTCACCTGTCTCCAAAACACCCGTTCTGGGGGGCGGGGGCGAGGCAGGGCCCCACCCTTTCTGCGATGGTATGAAGCCCCCACCCGCTGGCTGCAGGGTCCTGCCACCTCCACGCTTCAGCCGCCCAGAGCTCCGCGGGCACCCTGCACCCCGGTGCGCCCCCTAGCGCCCCCTAGCTTCCTCTTTGACGAAGTTCGCAATCCCCCTCTGATCGCCCAGGTTCAAGCCACTAAGATGTTCGCCAACCTAATTCATAAGCTGGGAGGTAAAACAAATCTCAGTACATTTAAAAGGATTCAAATCATGGGGAGTATGCTCTCAGATCACAGTGGAATTATATTAGATCACAATAATTCAATATAATTGACCAATATAGCATAAGATATTTAGAAAAACTCCAAATATTGGAAATTCAACACTAAATAATAGTAGTAAGATTAGCTTAAACACACTTTAGAGGGAAATTTATCATTTAAATGCATATATAGAAAAGATAGCAAGTTTAAAACCAGTGATTTAGCTAAGAAGTTAGAAAAGGAATAGCAATAAACAGAAAAAAATAACAAAACCAAAAGTTGTGGGGTTTTTTTGAAAAAAACAGTAAAATTGTTAAACTGGCAATACTAATGAAGGAGATACAAATAACTGATAGTAGAAATGAATAAATATCTACAGCTTCTTTTGATATTAAAAGAATAATAAGAAAATAGTTAAACAACTTTATTCCAACAAATTCAACAACTTAGATGAACTGCAAAAACTCCTTTAAAGATACAAATTACCAGTGTCACAGGTTCGATTCCCAGTCAGGGTACATGCCTGGGTTGCAGGCCATGACCCCCAGCAACCGCACATTGATGTTTCCCCCTCTCTCTCTGTCTCCTTCCCTGCTCTCTCTGGAAATAAAGAAATAAAATCTTAAAAAAAAAAAGATACAAGTTACCATAACCGACTCAAAAAGAAATGGAAGATTGGAATGGCCCTATGTATATTAAATATATTCATTATAAAAAGCTATGCCAAGGAGAAAAATCAAAACGATCACGCCTAATGAAGAAATAGTACCAACGCTACACAAATGCCTTCAGAAGAGGGAACATTTTTACAACTCATTTATGCAGTTAACAAAACCCAAGACCACATCCTGGCCCAGACGCCCACAGAGAAACTGCATGTCTCCCCCGAACGTGGTGGGAAGCTCTTCAAGAGAAAGCTACCGGACATGACTCAGCGAGGCAGAGACACGCTCATGAACGAAGGGAGTCTATCGAAAGTTCAACATCTGAACATGAAAGTCACTGACCACATTCACAGAATAAAAGAAAAATCATGCAGTCACTAAAAAAAATGAAATTCAACATTTATTAATAATTTTAAAAACTCTCAACAGAGCAGGAATACGAAAGAAACACCTATGGAAAACCTAGAGTTAATAGGTTAACCTAATGGTGAAAAGCTAAATTCTTGCCCCAAAACTACAAACGAGGTGGGACTGCTTGTGTGGCAGATCCTGGCTAATGTATTAAGACCAAAAAAAAAAAAAGGCATAAGGTTGGGAGGGGAAAAGTACAAATGTCTCTATTTGTGGCACGATCGTCTGCATAGAAGATTCTAAGGAATGACAAACTACTACTAGAATGAACAACATTTATCAAGATTGCTGGATACAAGGTCAATACACAAAAATTATAGTTTTTTGTGTGCCAGCAAAAACAGTTGGAAAATTAAGTTAAAAAATAGCATTTTCTGCCCTGGTTGGCATGGCTCAGTGGATTGAGTGTTGGCTTGCGAACCGAAAGGTCGCTGGTTTGATTCCCAGTCTTGGCACATGCCTGGGTTGCAGGCTAGGTCCCCAGTGGGGGGCGTGGGAGAGGCAACTGATCACTGTATCTCTCACACATTGATCTTTCTCTCCCTCTCCTTCTCTCTCTCTTCCCCTTTCTCTAAAAAA